ACACACACACACACACACACACACACACACAAACCCCAAAAATTCATTTGGTAGAGGTATGTTATGAAAAGAACAGAAAAGGAGCTAGGACTCTTTCTCTGGATCCTGGCAGGCTAGAAGGGAGTGAATATAAGCACCCTGGTGGAGCCATTTCGTGGTGAAAGAAAACTGTGCAAACAGCAGCCCAAGTGCTGGCGGTGCTTCCGGTGTGTTTACTTCAGGCCCCTTTCTTTGAAAGCCCAGTTTGCCTGGCTCCATTTCCTGGACTCCCTATTGATACATGCTACCCCTGATATCGGGGATTGGACCTAGGGCCTTGTGCACGAGAGGCAAGCATTCTGCACTGCTGCCATTTCACTGTTTCACATGCACCCTGCAGTTTTCCTGTAGGTCCTGTAGGTCAGAGTCTTTTTAGAGTGGAGGTCTCTGCTCTGGTCAGCATTCTCTTAGTTTCTTTGTTCTTGGGGTGCAGGTCTGGATGGGGAAAGGGGAGATAGGAAGCCCAGACTACTGGAGAACAGCACTCAGCGCCTCCTACCCGCTCCCAGTGCCACCTGCGCCCATGTGGCTCACTGTGAGCTATTCCAAGCAGAGAGGCCGAGAACTGATTTAGCCTTTTTGAGCATCTGGATTTGTGCTTCTCTGGAGCCACAAGAAGCGAGGTGGGGGGAGGGGGAAAACTACAAAAAATTCCTTCCGAGTGGACAGCCAGTGACCATGTAGTGAGTCCCCTGAGGATATAACAGGATGGGAATAGAATCAAGGTCAAGAGGGCTCTGAGGAGTTGAAACTGTGATACAAGGAAGGTTGATGAAGGTCTCAGACACTTCCCCATGACCTGTCAGCAACTGGACAGGAGGAACCCAGGGACTGGTTGATGATAGGGTCCTGAAGGGGGAGGGGTTGGTCAGCTGGAAGGCAGGTGGAGTATGTTACTATAGATGTGCAGGGCAATCTGCTCTTGGGGACATAAGGACTCTCAGTGCACTGGACACAGGCTGGGTGTGAGTGACCTGGGAGGCTGCAGGAGGCTTGGCGCTTGCTCAGAGCTGGGAATCTGTGAGGGAGATCTTGGAAAGATGCAAAGCCGAGAAGTTGGAGAGTGGATGCAGCGTGGCATGCTCATGGGATCTTCAGGAAGCAAATGGCCTTGTGGGGTGCTTGGGAGGTTGACCACACATCTGGAGCTCAAGACAGTCCCTGGGGGCCATTTCTATGTAAGTGGTCATTGAGATGTGGAGTGGATGAGATTATGTGGAGAGCTGAGAAGAGGAATACAACCCTGGGGACTGTTTAAGGGCGGAGGGGGAGTCTTGGTAGGAGGAAAGGAGAAGGGAAGCAGGAATGAACAGGAGTTAGTTCCAGCAGATTGCACATCAGGGAAACGTGGCACCAGAGCAGATGCCGTTAACATGGGACTGAGCATGGGTATGGGTGTAGGAAGTAAGGGGAGGTGAATGGTTACATGGCAGCTAGGCCCCTGGGGTAGGAAGCAGGAAGGAGGCTAAGGGTGTGAGGACCTGGACAAACAGCAGTGTTCTTTAAAGCTTGCTTTGGTCTTTGTTACCTCTCATAGGATCATCCCCTCCCCACCTTAGATGCCTTCAGACCTTATCCTCTAAGGTCATAGGAGGACAAGGGCCTCGCCTCATGTCTTGCATGCACTTCAGAGACAGTTTATAGTCAGATGTGTAGGATGGGCTGAAGGACAGAAGCATCCAAGGACCCAAGGAATTGTGCATTCTCCCAAGTTTTCCTGACATCACTTGCTGTCTGCCCTCATCCCTTCCCCAGCCCATTACTATTCTATCCATGCCTCTCTGCCATGATCCTGTCATGTCCCGGGAGTGAGGTCAGCGGCCGTGCTTTACTGGCTATGAGAACAAGATCCCCGGAGGCCTCTGATGAAGAGATGTCTCTCTGGGCTCTGCTACCTTCCACAGCCACTCACACTCCATTCCTGCTGTAGGGAGCAGCTATGTGCCCAGGGCATAGGGTCTGGTCATTAGCTGATTTTCACGCTTGGTGCAAACACTGAGTGGGTTGTCAATCCTATCACCTCCACTCCTACCGATTGAGTCCCCCCAAACCTAAGCTAGTTTTTGAAGCAAACCTGGCTCACCCCTACCCAAGAGGTCGATGCTCAAGTACTTGAGACTGGGGGCTGCCTACTCATTTCTGACTTGACCCATGGATCCCACCTCTGTGAGAAGATAGCAAAGCCTGTCCCCTAACTTTAAGGAGGTCAGTAGGTACAAAGGGGGCCTTTCTTTTGTGGGGGTATGTAGCATATTCCCAGTACCTGCTATAACTGCTCCTCTGTATCTGGGTGCCTAGGGGAGGCCGGTTCTGAAAACCCAGATCCCAGCTCACTTTGTAAACCACTTCTTTCTAAGCCCTGCTACCATTTCCTTTCTAACCTTGTCAGAGTATCATGAAAGGCTTAGTGCTATGGTGCTGCTTCAGGCAGGCTGCCCCCTTAGCAGAGGACAGCTGCCTTCCTGTACTTGTTGGCACCAGTAACCCGCTCTTCCAGTTTGGGGCTTTGTTTAGATAGCTGTCCTCTATGGGGCCCATTGGTCACAGTTATCACACCCACACAGGTTGGATAAATGTGGTTGATATTTTCTTTTGAGAGACTGAATTGCTTATGATCGTGGGATGTATGCCTTATTCAGAGCTAAGGAATATGACTCCTAGGTGTGGGCTTTCTCCACATCCACAGACCTGTCTGCTTGGGTGTACATCCTTTCATGCATTGTCTTACCAGTTGCACTGGTAGCCGATAGGTTTCCCGAGGCCCTTGGAGCATCACGGATATATCTAGGGAGGCTGACAAAAAGAAAGTTTGTGCTCATGTGACTTTTAAAAGCCAACAAAGCTCCAAAGTCCTTTAGTCTCCTAAAAGATCCAAAGGACAGTGACCCCCATGGATGAAGAAGAGAACCAACTCCCAAAATATGTTTCTGACCTCTACCCTCCCCTCAAACCCCAAAGGGCAGCAACCATCAGACAGGCAGCTATGATAAAACCAGCAAGGTGAGCATAGACGATCTTGCGGGGTCTAAGGGTTTCAGAAGAGGGAGGCTCTATATGAATCACAGGCCAAAGATGGACAGTTTGCACAGTCTGAACAAAATAGAAGTACTCTTACCAATAAATAGGTTTCAAAATGATAAATAAGGCTGGCTCTCCCCTGTCGGCAGCCTGGAATCCCAGTGAGAAGTGATGGGCACAGACAGGCACAATGAATTATGTACAGAGTGTAAACAGTAAGGCCCCTGGGGGAAATAGTGAGGGCTCAGCCAGGTGAAGGGTGCATACAGGTTAGGAATGTGGGGAGGAGGCCGTGGGCCTAGGACGAAAAACAACAGATTTGTACGGCGGGCATCCAATAGGCCACCAAAGCTCGCAGTATGGCAGGTCCTACGGTAGGGTCCACTGACTTCCTCCGGGTGGCAGGAGGAGTAGAAACTGTCTACTGATCTTCTTCCTGGAAGCAGCAGAGCACGGATCTGTACCTCTTCTTCCCCAAGGCGAGTGACCACACCTAGACTTCAAGACCAGCTGACTAAGCAGTTTCTCCAACTGGCTGAGAAGAGTGAATCCAGCAGTCTCACTTCCAGAAGAGCTCTGGGCACCTATGTCCAGTAGGGGGCGCCATAACCCATCACCTACGAAGTGATGCGGTCCCTGGCCAGAGCTCTGGATCCAAAGGCATCCCTCAAAGCACCTCACCCCTGTCTCCAGCACATCCCCTTCCCCCCACCCCCCAGCCTGGGTCTCGGTCCTTAAATGTCAGTTTCCCGGAGATTGCTATAGTCGACTGGCTCATAGGCAGGGCAGATGACAGCCTCTACCCCATCTTGGGGAACGCTTAGAGACACTGCCTCTACCTCCGAGCGCAGGGCGCACGGAGCCTCCGCGCGCCGTGCGCCTCCAGAGCGGATCTTGTGGGACAGGCTGGACACCTTCGCGCGCAGCTGAGTCGTGGGTCTCTGCAGTGGCCCGAGCAGCTTCCACTCCCGGAGGGCGGAGGCTGGCTTTCGACGCCCGGAGACCGGAACCTGCGCCTCGGACGTGTCTGCGGAGCCTGGGCCTGGGTGTGCAGTGAGGGCCAGGGGAGCTCCCGGGGGCGCGACTCGCGGGCTGGGGACATAGTCGGGATGCTGATCGCCTGTTGAGGCTCGCCAGTGGTGGCCGTAGACGCGCCAGAGGCGGCGGCGGCGGCGGCGACATTGGCAGCGCAAGAGGCGGAGGAAGGCGCGCTTGAACTCGCGACTGGAGCAGGGGTAGATGAGCGGATTCACACAGCTGTTGAAGTAGCCCAGCCAGAAGATGACCTTGAAGACGCCCTCTGATGGTTTCAGCTGCGGGAACAGAGAACCTGCAAGGGACAGAGACCCGGGTATTTAACGGATGTCTGTAGCTGGGAGGTTGACAGCTGCCTACCACTGAAGCTGAGTCACCGGCAGGAGCTCTCAGGGGGGTCTTTCTCTGTGTACATAGATGGCGAAAAAAATAATCATCTTCCTGTCTTCTGAGTCCGACCTGATAGCTGTTTGATGCTCCTGACTGAGACCAAACCACCCGTGGCTGCAGTTTCTCCATAGGCAGTCTTCCCTGTGGAGCCTAGTTACTATGATCTATGTGGAGGTCTCCTTGTGCACCCCCCCCCTCCGGTCTCCACAAAGGGCACTCTCTAGAAGACAGCACGTCTTGTTCTTTAAGGCGTTAATGTGGAAGCATAATGCGGCTACAAATTTTATGTAAAAATATTTTGACTTTTTTTTAATACAAAATGAATTCATTTGCCATCTTTCGTATGGTGTTTTATGGCACTCTATCTGTGTTCTCTACTGCCTAAGCACAAAGAGAAATAGCCCAGAATTAAGGGGTGAGCAAAGTTTGTCCAGTGCTGGATACTGTGGAGGAGTCACGGCAACGTGGTGCTCGCTCTAGGTGATAATGTGATTGAAGCACAGGACTGAGCAGGCTCAGGGACACCTCCTAACCATCGCAAAACCAAACAAGCATGGAGTCAGGGGGCTGTAGAATGAACTCAGGACACCTCACCGGGGCTTCAGCTTTCATTCTGTGGGGAGTGGGAGGGGGGAGCTCAGAATTAGGCTTTAAGAGTGCACTCCCCATGGCTGTAAAATTGCAGGGTTGTGGGGCTGTTGCAGGGCAAGTGGTGAGGAAATGCTTCTTGCATGGTTTTGGGTGAAGGAACAGAACACCAGGTAGGTAGGATGGGTGCTAAGACCGCGTGTCCCCTAGGATTTCCCGCATGGACCCTCAGGGAAAGGGGACTGAGTGTAAAGTGCAGTCCAGCTGCTACAGTCTCACCAGCCTCCTCAGCAGCAGCTGGGGCCAGGTGCTTCATTCTAGACACAGAAGGTTAGGAGTGGCGTTCCTTGACAAATTGTGAAATTTTTTCCCTCTGCCTTTGATTCCTTCAAATAAGGATAGCGTGTCCCCTCCCCAGGGGTCACGTGTCCCCTGCCCCCGTCACTAACTGTCTTGCAGGTCATCTCCTAACCACGTGGAGAAGCAGTTCCTGATGCTGAGAGACAGTGGAAGGAGGGAGGCAGCACCCATCACACAGCCCAGCCTCTTACATCTTACTCACGTCATCCTGAGCAGGCTACTGGGCCAGCCACCGAAGGTCTCCCTTTCTTTTTCTGTGAACTGGAGACAATAATGCTCCCCTGGATGGGATCTCATGTCGATTCATAGATTTCAGGGCTCAGTGCTTAGCAGAGTTTTAACTTAAACGTTGTTGGGCTGGGAGTGCTAGAGAACTCAGGCAACACTGGAGAGTCCCTGCGTTCCATCCCTAGGTCTGCAAGCAAATCAACCAGTCAGCCTGGTATCTGCTCATCCCTCCAGCATTTTCTTCTGACTTTCCAGAGCGGGTTCCACAGCCTGGGGAGGGGAACCTACCAACTATATCTAGAGAGCAGTCAGAAACAGTAACTGAGTCCTGTGGGTTTGTGGGTACTGGGGCTTAGCAAGGTTGATTTCTCCTGAGAGAGGGGTCAGGCAGTCCTTAGAAAATGCCAGAAGGATGTTACCCTGCAGGAAGATAGCCCTCAAGAACAGGATCCCTCAACGACTGCAAAGTCAGACCAAAGGCTGGCAATAACATTCTGACTCAGACTGCAGTCTTTTCTATTTAGCCGTGGATGATACATCAGTGGGCTATGCTTTCCAGCGGTTGTTGCCAGCCTGGCTTTTATTCAGATGTGTGGACAACATGACATGTTTTAGTACTGTCCCAGTCTGTACTGCAAACATTGGTACTTTAATTTATGTACAACTGACTTATCCAGAGTCTTTCTGTGTGTGAATTCCTCACACACGAAGGGGCTAGGATTCAAAGGCAGCCTTCCAGCCCCGGCAGTTGTTCCCGGCCTCCCTGGAGGTCTGACTTTGAGTTCCTCCAGAGGCAAGCTCTGGAACAGGGTTCAAGTGCAAGTCTTTAGCCTGGGAGCAAACACCTTGGCGAGGTGCTAGCACATGGGGAGGGGATGCTAGTAAGTTCGTTGCTAATGTGGGGAACTGAGGCTTAACTCCAAAGGGGCTTTCAGGGTTTTCCCATTAGTGGGGAGGGATGTGGGTACCTACCACTCATTCCCATCAGTCTCCAGCTGCTTTCTCCAGCTATTATTTTTTTTTCCTACTTTCTACCTATTTTATGGATGGACTACAAGAACGGATGTGCTATGAAATCCCCTGGGGAAGCGATGCAGACAGGCACTCAGGAGTGGGTAACCCTCCATCACAACTGGTTCTTACTCTCTTTCTGACCACTGTGTGCTTAGAAAATTCAGGCACCTGTGCTGCAGTTTGAGAATTCCAGGGGCAGCAGGTCTTGGGAGATTTTTCCTGTTATGGTCCCAGATGAGGACCACAGAGGCCAGGGAGGACCACGCCTCTCCCTACTGGAATGGTGCTCCAGCCTCCACCTCTACTCCCCTTGTTATAATATCCCTCCTCTCCATACTTTCGCTGCAGCTCACATACCTTGCAAGGATCTCTGAGGTCTGAAGGGGTGAAGGCATGCCCTTCCCTGTTGCATAATATGTGGGTTGGAGAACTGTCTAAAGATCCCTGAAAATGGGCACTTGCTGGGGACGATGCTGCAGAGGCATCCGTGGACAAATCCTTCTTTGCCATTGCCAGCCCCCTCTAGTCTGCCTGAGACAGCAGTTGGCCCACCAACTGCTTTTTGTCTTCTTATCCCTCAGAGCATCAGCTCTGTCTCAGGTGCCCTGGAAACTTGATCCTCAGTGCATATTGAGATGGGGCAATGTGGAACAGGTCGGGCCTCGTGGAAGGCGAGTGGGTTGTGTGGCTCCATTCTCACGGACGAATTAGTGCTGTCTGGTGGGAGTGGGCCAGGTCTTGTGAGGGTGGACTAGTTCTCACAACAGTGAGGTATAAAGCAAGGCCATCTCAGAAACCTGTTCCTCTTGTACCTAGCCATTCCCCTTCTTGCTTCTCTTCCATACTGTGATGTTTCCATGTGATCTTCCCAGATACTAATGCTGATGTTGTTTGGGTTTCCCAGCTACCAGAACTGTGATGCAAATACACTTCTTTTCTTTATAAGGTAATTAACCTCAGTTGTTTTGCTATAATAACATAGTACACACTAAAACTATGAAAGACTCAAAGGTTTGTGGGAGTCTTGGAGCGAGAGCTACTCTCAGCACTAGGGTACCCTCCTCCTTGGCTCTAGTGGGCTTACTCTCCCATCCTGAACACTGTCCTTTGAGTTCTTATAGATACAAAGTCCAGCTTTGCAAACTTTAGAAGTTCTTTTTGTCTTTCTCTTAACAAAGAGACTACTGTGTGTTGCCATCTACTTCCCTGTGTGCTGTAGCCTCTACCTTTCCATAGGTCTCCAGTGTCACAGCCCTGCTCTAGCATTCTCTGTATGTCCTTGTACGAGCCATGTGACCACTCTACCCTCTGGCTGTGCTCTGCTTGTGATGGGACCCCCACTCTTGCTTTGGGGCTGTAATGCACGGCTGTCTCGGATGCTTTCCCTACACATTGGGCAGTGACAATGTCCTGTGTGAGACCTTCCACCCACTTCTGACCAACAGAGTGACTTACAAAGCCCTCCCCCTCACAACACATCATACTCACTTTGAAGTGCAGTGGGTACCACCTGTAGACTCTCCTCTATTGCACCCCACACTATAACTGTCGGTCTCTGCTTCCTTGTGACTGCCGTGGCCCAGCCTACCACCCTTGTCTAAGGGCAGGACCTGCCACAGGGGTATCTCCACACAGCAGTGGGAATGGGGGGGGGGGAGGATTGGACTTGGCAAGCACAAGCCAGAGCTGTTCTATTCTTCACTTACAGGTGCTGCACACAGCCCAACCTTAGCTATAGTGAGACCATTCGCCAGCACCTTGGGTTGTCCCTGGTGTCTGCCTCCTTCTCTGCTTAGTAGGCACTCATGTTGCCAGCATCACAGCCATTTCCTTCACCACCATCCCGTGTCCACATTCCACACCCAGCCGGAATCTGACCCATGACCCACAGAATCACGTCCTGAATACTTGTAGGTCTCTGACCTTGGTTGTGTCCTAGGCGCCTGCTGTGGGAACTCCTTCCTCTCCTTCAGCCAATAGCCTTTAAGATACCAGCCCACTTGGGTCTTAAAGGCTATTGGCTGAAGGAGCAGAAGGAGTTTCCACAGCACCAGCTCTTTCTTTCCCCCAGCTGTGTCCTCAGGTCCTCCTTCCCTCCCAGTTCTGGGATGTCATGCTCACACCCCTGTGTGTCCAGCCCTTTACACAGGTGTGGGGATCCAAATCGGCCCCTGTGCTTGCATAACGAGTCCTTTACCTGCTGAGCAGTTTCGCCCTTCAAATGATTTTTTTAAAAAAGTTAAACTGATCATGCTCATTCCCTGCTCAAAACCCTCCAGAAGCTTCTGGTTCCTCAAGGTAACAGGGTGGGGGCGGGGATGTATTATGTTCACAATTCCACCATTCCACATACCTCCTCCTCCCCCATCTCCTACTCTGCTGCAGCCCCTGTCTTCCTTGCTGCTTCTCACCTACCCTGGAGCACAGCTTTCCTCCGGTGTTTTCTTCCATCTCCTCTATAGTAAGGCCGCCCAAACTCTCCACCTAACTGGATGCATCCAGTCTACTTACTTCTCACTTAGATCTACTGTACTGACCACCTTCTCCCGTCCTGCTGGAGTCTCTATTCATCTTCTCTGTTCTCCATCCACCCCGGGCAGGCGACTCCAGGACAGGACTTCTGTCTACTTTGCTTGGCCCTGCTAAAGGAGTCTGTCCCACCCCTCTGTCTATGCCTAGCTCCTCCTCCAGCAGGCGGGCCCTCCACCTGGCTCC